TTGTATGTGTATCTCATATTTTCAGTTTTGTATCTCCCATTGCTTTCCTCCATGCTTGCAATGAAGATAAATGGCCCGAATAGCACTAATAGGATTTTGAATGTTTTGACACTCATTCTTGTATTTCTGAATTCAACTTTAAACCCTTTAATTTACTGTTGGAAGATGAGACACATTCGCCACTCTGTCATCAACATACTGCGTAAAATGCCCTGGAAAAGAAACCGTACTCTAAACTAATTATGCAATCAGTCATAATGCTTCGTTGGGGTTGTCCTTATCGTTTGACTAACAAGGGCTAGGAACGTCTTTTTTTTCCTCAACTGACAAAAGAGAAACTAGAACGTTGTTAAAAACGTGATAAAAACGCCACAGAAACAAACACGACTATTCAAATTTTCAAGGGAAAAAAGATAAAGTAAATCATAGTTTTGTGAATGCAATAATGGTAAATTAGCCTAATCCCTTTTTGATCGATTTTATGAGAAATAAAATTGACACTGAGTTTTCAATGTATTCGTGAACCTCAACATTTTTCAAATAACCAATTGAATATTCTACTTGTAAAATGAGAATCATCTCTACCTCAGTTTTATTATTACTGTTTTCCCTTGTTGTTTTTTCTTCGCTTTTATTGCGTTTATTTCGGCTGAGAATTCATCATCTCTTTTATACGTAAAGAAAACTGTTTAAAAGCTGGCTCATGGTAGATTCAGTGAATTATAACGGAAATAACTGCCAAAACCACCAGGCTCTACAGGTGAGCTATCTTAATGACGTGTGAATTTGAACTGCTTTTCTAATGTCAAATACTATTTCCAAGTAATGAATTGGAACACTAGGACGCCTTACCTGTGCGAGGGAAGCAAACATCTTCCTGTTGCATACCAGTGAAACCTTAACCCAGAGAAGTAATCGACATGTAAATATTTCTCATATATTTCCATTACTCCAGTCAAGGTTGTAGGAAAAATTACAATGAAGAAATTTATCGATTGTAGTACAAATGGTCTCTATTCGTCACCAGTTTCTTATCGCGTGTCACGAAATAAACGTAGGGCCTCAGTTACGAGAATGAACTTTTGAACAACATGATTGTAATAACAAATGAACTGACTTTGGGTATATTCAAAGGGTGTGCCCAGATGATTTTTCGACCCACAGGAAAATACCGAAGTAATGATTAAATCTAAAGGATCAAAGATGTTTTAGTAATGAAGAGTTGGGAGTTTACTACAAATTGGAGACTGGACGACTGAATAGGCTGCGTTTGTCTTGTAATGGCCTCAGCCAACTGTCATTGTCGGACTTCTTTCTTTAAAATAAATAAATTGTTCATTAATTGATTTTATACCATGATGAAATGCTAACGAATAAATTTGATCTCTGCAAAAGGAAGCAATAGCAGTGTCATTTATTAATATATTCTCCATGCAGCACCAGATAGCCATCCATTAAATTTGCATTGGTCACAGCTTTCGATAAACTTCCCAATCCATACCCATACAGGACGATTAGAAAGGTCTTTAAAACACTTTGTTTTGTTATTTTGATCAGTCGTGAACGACCATGAGGGTGTTGTTTCAAAATCTTGTGGGCTGCAGTCGAAAACTTCTCTTATTCTTTTAAATAACGGCTTTCATGTTTTTTAATCTAAAAAAGTTGTTTTGCACAAGAAAAAGGTTGATCCCTAAAAAGCTAAATAAGGAGAATTAGCAAAAAGTAACTGCTTTCATTTTGTTCATCACGGTAAACGAAAAAATTATGTTAGGTGTGCGTAACACCTGAAACGAGTCCTACTTGCGCACAAAAAATCCCCTTATAAAATTGTAAGTTAATTAGTATGGATGTGATGATATTCTGTAGTTTTTCCCCCTCATATTCCGACCTCAAAGACCGTCGTTGGATACTCGCCGCTGGTTGTATTTCCAAAAATATTTTAACCCACATCGCCATGATGTTAAACTTTGCCCCTTAGTCTGACTTAATTTAAAAGTAATCCACAATTCCTTAAATTGCAATCATCGGGAAATCCCCTTTGATGTGAGGACTCAAAGTCTCCGCTTTACAAATTTTATGGTGGGTCATATTCATTATATTTCCATTTAGCACCTTTAATTTATTATCTGATCCAGTAAGCTCATGACTTTGTTACACCACGGTACTACTTTAATTCCATCCCATTGAGAACTTTCCATGACTAACTATCCAATCGAATGAGCACACGACCCTGTGATGGAAAGCTATCACAAGACCAGCGTCGTTTTATTCAAACAAAGTCGTCGAAAAGATGAGTGTGTCAATCCTGATGAACTTATCAAAGAATGCGATCAAAAATTAATTGCAATTTTTATCACGGTTAATGAAAAAATTATTTTAGGTGTATGTAGCACCTGAACAAGTCTTAAATGCCCACAAAGGGGTCAATCAGTATGAATGTATTATACTGTGATGATTTCTGCATTTTTTGCCCTCCTATTCCGACTTCAAAGACTGTCGTTGGATACTCGTCGCCGGCTGTATTTTCAACAATTTTTTAACCTACACCGCCATCATGTTGAACATTGTGACATTGTACACTATGGACAATTACAAGAAGCAGGTCAGTGCAGTGAAGTGAAACGATTGGCTGTCTCCCTTAAGTCTGCAGTTTGTATATTGTATGTGCATCTCATGTTTTTAGTTTCGTATTTTCCATTTTTTTCCTCAATGCTTGCAGTGAAAATAAACGGCCCGAATAGCACTATTAGGAGTTTGAATGTTTTGACACTCATTCTTGTATTTCTGAATTCAACTTTGAACCCTTTAATTTACTGTTGGAAGATGAGGCATATTCGCCACAATGTTATCGACATACTACGGAACATGCCCTGCAAAAGAAACCGAACTCTCAACACATTTTGCAGGCAGTGATGAGGGAGATGTACAAAGTTTTTGTCGCTCTATTACTTCAACTTTTTAATAATACTTTAATCAAAGTTGTGCGTGTGAGGCAAGGAAGATCACCACCTGTGTTTTGTTTTAATGGTTTTCTCTCTTGATTTTTTTCTTGTTCTTATCGCCTGTTAGTTTTAGCAATGAATTCATTGTGACTTTCAAAAGATAACAGTCGCATGTAACATATCAGCATTAAATAAAACCGTCAATAAACCGATTCATTACTGGCTCAGTATGTTATGAAATTGCATAATTTTCTAACCACAGGAAAGCATCAAAGTAAAGATTGAAAGGTAAAGACAAGAATTGGAAGGTTACATAAACTTCTTGACGACTGAAAAAGCCAAGTTTGTCTTTACGCTTTGGAAGAGCAAACTTTCTTCAAACAACAGATAGTATATATATGAAATTGATAAATTGCTATGGTGGCTTTCATTTACTTATCTTTTTTAGATAATGGCTTTCTTGTTTTCAATTTGAAAATTGTTTTGTCTCTAAAAAGCGAAATGAGGAGAGTTCTCCCCGGGCAGAGAATTTTGGAGCATTTCATTTGTCCAAAGCTCCCTTCTTTACTTCAGGATACGCCATTTATCTCTTGCAAGTGATAATGGCACTTTTGTTTCTTCAGCGATTGGTGGGATTCACTCAGTATTCATGATGTTTTCATTTCTGCTGGAAATCTCACCTGTCTGATTTGCAGTTACAGCCGGTCATTTAATGTCGTCTGTTTTAATTACTGACTCACTTACATGCAGTCTGTTTTTTGTGAAAGGAAAGAGAGCAAACGAGACTGTGAAGCTGCTTGTTAAGTCGATAGATAATTGGGTGTACTCTGCATGTTTTAAAAGATAACTAAATTATCTCTCCTCTTAGTCCTACTCGTGACATATTTCTTTATTCGTGTTATCAGTTGCATAAATTTACATTACAGCCACCAACTTCTATAATGGTACCAATGAAAAAAATACGATAAACAGTTGTTTTTTATTCGCAGTAAAAATGTCAAGAAAGTATTTGACAACTCGTTCACTCATTCATTGGTCATTCAGTCCATATTTCCAGCCGTTTGAAAATTAGAGATGATTCGCTTAATTATTGTTATAATGATTGTGAATTTACATTGAAAATCTCCAATGCGTCGATTGGGGTCAACCGAGGCAAGTTAGAAAATTTGGTTTTATCAATTGAGTTGATAATGTAATGAGTTTCTAAGGCTAACGAGCTGACATTTCGGGCGTAAGCCCTTTGTGCGATCGAAAGAGGGAAGTTAGTTTCAGTTCGAACTGTATTTTCTAATTTGTGCCATAAAGGGGAGCTTGACACTTGCAAGTTGGGTACAAGTACTCCCAATTTGAGATGACGGTTAATGCAATATTTTATAAATTGAAATGTTCACGCGTTAATTTCCAGCTGTGTCACATTTGTTGGTCTGTACCGTGCGGGTAGAAACCTCGAGTACAGATTCAGAAATCCCTGTTTGAAGGTTGAGTTACGCAGTCCGTAGAGAAGAGGATTACACATACTGTTCAAATAACCGAGTATTAAGGAAGCCATGTCAAGTACGCGTGGTAAAGGCTTTGGGTAATACACATCGAAGAACATGGTAATAGCAAATGGCGCCCAGCAAAAGACAAATAGGGTAACTGCGTACAGAAATGTGTTTGTGATCCTCGTTTCTTCTGGCGTCACGTAAGACTCTAATGATTTTAATACAGAATCCGATTTATTTTTTCGCGGAACGTTGATTTGTGGTTTTTCCGAAATGTCGGTGTCTATATGTATGTCGTTATTGCCAGGTTCAGAAGCTGTTGGAGATTGAAAAAACCGAACCGGCGGCGGCGTGATATTTCTTGACCTCCTAAGTTTCCTTTTCAAGCCTCTTGTAAACTTTAAAACGTTAAAATACGACAAGATTATCGCTGAAAGAGGCCCGAAAAAGCAGACAGTGATCATGAAATACATGAAGTGCACATCTGAGGGCCAGAAAACGAAACAGTACGATTTTCCGGGGATAAAACGATATTCTGCCCAGCCTAGAAGCGGAGGGGAAGCCAAAGATGTTGCGACCACCCAAACTGCGGCGGCATAGAGCAAGGCTTTTTTCCTGGAAAAGGTTCGGTGGTAAGAGTTCCATTTGACGATGTAGAAATATCGGTTGATAGCGATCATGCCAAGAGACATCACGGACGAAATAAAGGATAACATCGTGAAAAAGCCAAGCGCCACGCAAGAAGTGTCCCCAAACACCCAACGGTCTTCGATGATAGTCACTAAAGTAAATGGAATGCTTAAAATTGACACCATGATGTCAGCCGCGGCTAGATTGAGAATATACAAGTTGGTGACAGTTTGAAGATCTTTGTCTTTGTAGACGATGACGAACAAGCTGAGGTTACCGATAAATGCAGCCAAACCAATGACACAGAGGACAGTCGTCTCTAAAACAGAGGCTGTGAAGCGTGATGACATGTTCAACTCCGAGAATTTTGATGCGATTTCCAATATATTTAAATAAATACCAAAGTAAATATGTTATTTCTCCTGTAAAAAAAACAACAACAACAAAACAAAACCTGAAAGCGGAAGTAAAACAATTGTGCTAATCGACGCCCACATGCACTTCAATTTGACCAAATTTTCGAATAAAGTTCTTAAAAAAATTATTTCGTTTTTTTCTTCTCGAATTTCATGCCTTTTAAGCTACTTCAGCGCTCCTAGACATCGAATTGTCGAATTGATTGATTGATTTTTTTTTTTTATTCTAATGTGCGGGCAAAACTGTTTTTAGATACAAACCCACGAAACCTTTTTTCAGACTTCAATAGGACAGATGTTTTAAATTTTGCATCAAGTTTGCCTAATTAAAATATATTTTTACGATCGTAGTTTCAAAGAAGAAACTCTGTAGCACATGCAAGCTTTGGAATTGTTTGGTTAATGAAGGTTGAACGTAAATGTAGTAAAGATTGTGCGACCATTTTACTTAATACTTTTACTAAAAATCACTTTGGGTAGCGAGTTAGTTACAGAACTAGAATAATTTCCTCGCAAAGGTACTTTCCTTGAAATTGTGAATGAGTATTTTGCCTCTTTCGTGCCCGTTTGTTGTCCAATTTGTATCGACAATTACGTTCTAGTCTATTTAATATTCCTTGGAGTGAAAAGGGTGTTGCGCCTGATTACGGAGTACGCGTCAAAGTTCTGGCAAACAAAGGATTGATTGGTGCAATTTCCTGATACGATTGATCTCTGTTATCATGTAGGGAAAATGGAAAAGTTTCTTTGTCATAACCACAATACCGTAGAACTGAAAAAACCGATCATTGTAGCTTTGGAGAAATCCCAACGTGAGAAGAGTTTTATAAAGTGGACTTAAATAAGGTTTCAAAATGGATTTTGGCCCATTTGACATAGCCTATCACAGTGCACCAATTTCTCTATCTCTCACTCTCTCTCTTTTTTTTCTTTTTTTCTTTTTTTTTTTTTTCATGCACTAAAATAACATTTTTCTTTTTTTGACCGCAACACAGTCGGTTCATCAAATTAGAATTGCTTTTTGTTTGTTATTGACCATTGAAATTCCTTTTTTTGGAAGAGGCCCCTTCAAAAAAAAAAGGCCAGGCGTTACTTTTATGAGAAGAAAACCCCAGCTCAAGAAGAAAATCAATCAGTGATCATTTTCCGTGCTCATGCCTCACACCTAATAAAAAATCGGAGGAGGACTATGTGGCCGGGATGAAAGGAAAATCAGTTGTGTTTAAACACAATAGTTAATGCGCAGTAGTAATTACAATCAATAATAGAAATTACCTTTCGTACATCAAACCGGAAAGGCTGTTTTTCCTGGTATTAAACGTTGAATTAATGATTACGGTTGAGGTGGCATTTTTTCTTAAGACTTTTCTCCATCCATATCATAATAGATTTCTAGAAAATACAAGTAAAGAAGTTCATTTAAAAAGTATGCACAAGAAAAAGGAAAATTTAATGCAAAACAAATTAGGAAGGGAGAACGGCTTGGTAAAGTTAAGACTAATTATTGCCCTTTTAAGTGTAATTAACGAACCTCATTTAATCATTTATTTAAATAAGTATTTCCATAAAAATTACTTACATTAAAAAAAACCCACACGCACAAACATCATTTGTGATGACTACATACAATCAAGTAAGATCGTTAATATTTAATTTATTAAATAATATTTATTCGTTATTATTTAACATATTAAATAATTCATTTTGAAAAGATTACGAGTGAAAGGCAGCATTCAAGTTTACTTGTTTGAGGGAAATTATTATTTAAAGAGGTAATCATGTGTATTACATGTACTTTTGAGGACCTGAGCGGAACTATCGACTGATTGACTAAAGAGTGAATGCAAATATTGCTTGAGAAAGTTTTAAGAAACGTGACGAAACTGTGAAATCGTGAAGATTTTGTAAGGATCGCAGACTTTCGGCGAGCTTCGGAAATCGATGACTCGATGTATGGCTCATATACAGACCGGTAATTCGTATGGCAGCAACACTGTAAGATTTATACTAAACGGGATCTGATTGGTCAAAAACTTATCATTAATTGTATTAGGAAATCTATTGTTATTCCCACACTATGACATAACGGCAATTTTCAATTGAGAAATAAAAATAATCAAGAATTCCTTTGATTTTACCTTATTTCGCATTGTGATTAGTTCAGCGAAGTCGTTAAAACTAAACCCAGTACCGACATGGTCGATCGTGTTTTCCCGCGTCGGGCAGTTACTTGTTTTGACTCTTAGCTCTTTCAGTTGCAGTCTTTTCCCTTGTTCTGATTGTCTGTTGTGATTTCTGACTTAACCTTTACACTCCCGTCTGCCATACAACTCTTATGATTTCAATTTAGAGATTTTGGTATTGGATCAACTTACAACCCCCAAATTTACTGATTTTTATTCATTCTCATCATTAGTGCGCTTGATATTGTTTTGATACTGTAAGGAGAAATTCTGTCTTGGTCACTCATGAGAGTTAAAGGACTGTTTACCCCGGCACGATAGCCTACTCTGGATGTTGAATGAGCAAAATCACCCACACGTCCTCGCGTCTTGATATTTTAAAACTCTCCAACATATGATTAAATTTCAAGTGGATTAGTTTGTGAATGAATCAAAAGGATGCTCTGTTGCTTACCTTCAATGACCAGTTAAGGTAAAAATAATCATAGGTCTGAATAATTTGTGATTCTTATTTTGACTTCTGCTTATCTTCTTCGTACAATATTTCCTCATCGAAGTTTGAAGCAAATTGCTCGATAAAAGTAACTAAAAATAGAGTCCTACATTTGTTGCCATAGTGACCAGAAGCCCCTTTAATAGCAATTATCATTTCATCTGCATTTTTAAAAATGGTTTCTCACCCTTTAAATCTTTAACTCCCAAGATCTGATTGTTACTTCTCTTCTCTTGTTGCACTCATCTCCCTGTAAGTTAGTTACGAAAAGTGTTAGATCAATATGACAACTGACTCATAAGTTTCAGTGTTTTCATTACCTGTTTGCTGGATGATAAATGAATGTTATTGGGAGAATTTCGAAGTTACAGGTGAAATTCCTTTTCCAAAGAGTAGTTTCTTTCAGGTTTTGCAGATTATTTATACAGTGATTTGATTTTTCACTTTATGTGTGCCTTTACAGTATTGTGCATTTTTGTTTTTGCCATGTAAGCATCAACTGGCTTCTTTTCAGTATGGAATCTTTCATGTCTGTATATGATCCTTTTGAGTAAAGCACTTGCATGTCACAATTTTCCTCATATATCTCTCTATTTTTCTTCATTCAAACTGTGAATTTCTACCAACGGTCGATAAACTCAGACGACGACAACTTAGTTATCTTCATTTTCATAAGCAAATAACTGATATTTAATCCTTATTCACAGGAAATTAACCAGTTCTTTTGTAAAAAAAGTTATTACCCAAGGAAAATAATTTAATTTTGTCCTTGGTTTTGCGAAATAAACTTTCCCTTTATGATGAATTTGTAATATTTAATTCAGTGCGTCTGTAGTATAAACAAATATACACCGAAATTGCAGCAGCCGAACCTACACAAGTCTCACATAATTTTTAAGGTTTCAAGATTTGTAATGGAATTTCTCACAATTTTTTAAAAATATATTAATTCGTAAATCGTGCAATCTCACATCTTTCTACAGCGAATTTCAAGTCGCTCCGTTGTCAATCTGTTGCGGTTCGCACGGAGAAATTCATGGTTGGTCGAGAAATGGGATTAACGTTATTACTTATTTATGAAGTCGTTCCAAACGAATGACCATTGACACTTTGTGATCAAAATAATCACGAGGTTGATCGTGGAATGAGTCGAAGGAGTTCTTGTCAAGCTAAAATGTAGCTGATTTTCTGAAAAAAACTATAAGGGATGTGATCTGGAGTTTATAGCTGTGCAGACGACAGATGACGGCTCTGCAAGCAGAAATACGTCTTAACAGTCTCAAAAGTAAGACACTGCGCTCCGCTGAAGATTTCCCGCCCGAATATCAAACAGAAAATTTGATGTTTCTCTTTCAGCTGTTGTGTTTCGATTGGAAAGTTCCATCAATAAGCCAGTTGGAGATGAGAATGTGCTGCTTGCTCCACTCTGCGATGGCATAGAGGCGATTTTTAGATTTGGATTGAAGAGTAAGTTGAGGAAGAGATATGTGACTCAATTACCATAATTTTGATGGTGTGTATGCCGTAATTATGGGTTCGATTCCTTCGTCCTTCTAAATTAAATAGTTTTTTCGTCGCTACATCAGGATTTTACAGACAATGCGATCTCTTACGAAAACCCAGTTTTTCTTTCAATCTGTCGAAAATCACTGTATTAATGACAAAGATTTGCTTTTTCGTCGGTCGTTTTGGCGGTGGAGACCTCACTCAAGCGTGGAGATATCCCTTGGGTTTTTAATAATTTGCATTGTAGGGCTAGCATGCGTGTCTTTCTTCGTTTACCGATTCAACCAAGCATCAAAAGAAAGAACTTGAATCAATCTCGATGCATTCATTACTGAATCATTACAGAGAAGTTTATCTTTTCATTTTGGCTGGCAGGTGTTGCGAGAACCCGTTGACAGTTTGTTTTCACCGCGAAACGCAAAACTTTTCTTCAAACCTATTCACTTGAGTGGGTTTTAAAATGTTTGCGTCACTGTTTGAAATTATGCACATTTGAATCAAAATTTTCTATCGCCGAGAGGCTTAAAATTTGAAGTCGTTCTCTATAAAAGTTAACGATTCATCATGATATATATTTCTTGAACGGTCCGTCGGCGATTAAGTCTCAACAAATAATACCATGAACTTTCCGAGTGGAAATGAAATCCATTAATCCGCGCGAATCTTATCTTTTTAAATTGTACCACAACAAAAGGTTGAAAATCAAATCAAAGAGCTTGGTGTTAGCTGGTGAACAAAAATTTCACCACACGCCAAAACCATCTTGCTTTTAACTAGCAAATCACGTTCTTTTTGCACTTAACAACTAAATCAAATAGCGCGGGTTATCTAAGAAACATCTTTCAGCCGAAAATTTAGACAGCCGT